CATACAAATAAACAAACAGACATAGATCACTACCTCATTATACACTAGCTTTGGAAACCCAGCCCTGGGGTTTTAGCTAGTTCACCGATCAAAAATCGAGGCATTGACGGGGTTGGGGGCTCAGTCCCTTACAGTCTGATGTCGGTCTGTTGATTCCATGTTGGTCATCTTTCACGTACTATCATTTCTTTAATTTGTCAACTTGACTAATGTTTAGGTTATTATGGCGACCAACAGAATTGATATCCTTGACTCTGCCCTTCTTAGACCTGGGAGAATAGACAGGTTTGACCCCCCTTCGTTGCAGATATAATCTCTCGAAATATGATTTATAGAAACCAGTGCTTAGGATCCGGATCCGCAGAATTTTGGAAAAAATGCGGATTCTGGCCAAGATGCAAAATATTAACCATAAAAGGGAAATTTTGTTCTCAAAATCCTAATCTCAACAGTTGAAAAAAAGAGATAATTACAAATTTCAGTATTTCTGAACGATTCAAAAAGTTTTAACACAGAAATAGACGAAAAAGGTATAATTCTTTTAAGTTAAAAAGAAATCATTAAATCTTAAAGTTATCTGGATCCGGATCCATATTTTTACTGGGCGGATCCAGAATCCAGATCCGGATCTAAATAAAATAGATCCTAAGCACTGATAGAAACTGATCCTATAGTTTTTTTTGGTACATTTGTAAACATTGAAAACACTGCCGCTACGAATTCATAATAAACCATCTATTTGTTTTTCTGTCCATTGATTATGCTTTAAGTAGTTATGTCTCATATCTTTAACTTTTCGACTTTTTTCTGTAAAAATGTTTTTAAAAATATTTGCTTTCTTCTTTTGCGCAATAAAAAAGATTAGGATCCGGATCCGGATACATTGGATCTACAAAATTTTGGCAGTCTGATTCTGGATCATAATCTCTGAATGCTTAATGTAGAATCAGCACAAAAATAACTTAATAAGTGAAAAAAAAATTAAAAATTACATTCGTTTAAAATAAATTAGTTTGAATACATTTTTGAAGACCTGTATCCGGACCCATTTTTCCCATGGTGGATCTGAATTTAAATACAATGATCCTTATCATTAATTAAAGGTTACGAAGCGTCATAAATTGTTAATAAATCTTAATTTTGTAATTTGTATTTAGAAAGATCGAGTTCCCTCCTCCAAATGAAGAGGCAAGACTTGATATTCTCAAGATTCATTCAAGGAAGATGAATCTTACAAGGTAGGTTTTTTCTTCAGGGGGTATTCTAAAGAAAATAGGGGGGGGGGTCAATTGG